AGTAACACTGGCCTCCACCAGTCTCTCTCCCACTCTACGATCTACCACCTACCAGCGCCCAGCGCTGAAGACTACAGCTACAGCTATGGCGCCCATCGCCGAAGACAACAGCTAGCGCTACCACTACTGCCTAGCGCTGAAGACTACTGCAGCGCTCCTCCTGAGTGCTGCGGCCGAATTCTGAAGACTACTCGTGCCTACTGAACACTACCTACCCGTGAAGTGCATGGGAACTTCCTACGTACTACGGGTGTGCCTCCTGAGCCTGCCGAAGGGAGGCAGGGGCTGCAGCTGCAGCTCCTGCTCAAACTCGTGAGGAACAGGCTATTTCTAGCCTGTTCCGCATCCCTGTTTATGTGCTTGAGTCTTAGGGGCAGGTCGAAACAATGAGGGCCTGAAAATGGCCCTCCATTTCAGGCTGAAAACTCTGGGTCTGAAAAGACCCAGAAATAGGCTGAAACGGGGTAGGGCCTGCAGGCCCTCGTTTTTCAGCATCCACGCTGAAACGAACGGGGCCTGTAAGCCCTAAGTTTTAGGCTTTTAGGCTGAATGTCCGGGACGGGCCCTGCAGGGCCCGTGTGGCTACGCARTATGCCACACCCCCCCCTCCTTGAAGAACCGAGCTTACCTGCGAGGGCGAAGCTGTCTGTCTGATGGAGGGACCATAGTCCGGGTGGGAGGGGCTGGCCGTGAAGCTTCCTGAGCTAACCTGCGCTTTTCATAATGCACGTAGATCAGCGGTGCGGATGCTTTCAAATCTGCGCCTGAAATCCACCGAGTGTCGTCGCGATCGCATGCTTTGAATGTGACTTTGTACTGCCGCGGCTTGCTGCCGTACTTGCGATCGGAGATGATGCGGTCAACTTCCTGATGGCCATCCAAAGAACGAGGGTCCTGCGATCGTCGGTCCGGAAAGTCGTCGCTCTTGGCTGGCGTGTATGTTGCCAGCTTCGAGGCGTGGAAGACCGGATGGACCGTTTGATGCTCTGGAATGTTGATCACAAATGAAGGGTCATCGGGCTCATCGCCCGCGGCTGCTGTCACAGACCAAGGTCCAAACCACTTGGGAAGCAGTTTGCGTGAAACATCCTATTCCAGTGCAAACTCTTTCGCGGAGACCCAAACTAGATCACCGGCGCGGATGGGACATGGTACGCGACGCCTGTTGGCTTGCTGCTGCATGCGGACTTGAGCCTTTTGCATATTTGCGCGGGCTTGAGTCAGCAATTCCCTGTACTTCCGGACGGAAGCGGGAGAGCAGGCAGCGTCAAGGTCGGCTGGTCGAGGGAGGAGAAGGACGGCGAAGATCCGGCCTTTTCGTCGACCGTGGTGCAACTCGAATGGAGTCACGCCGATCACCGGATGCACCAAAGTGTTGCAGGCGAACTCAATGTCGGGGAGGCGGTCAACCCAATCTTTCTGGTCCGGACGGATGAGTGTACGAAGCATCATTTGAGCGGTTTGATGTGCCCGCTCTGTCTGCCTGTCTGTCTGAGGATGTCGAGCCGAACTTGGTTTCATTGTTGTGCCGGACTCCTCCATGAGAGCAGTCCAAAACGCCGACATGAAACGAGTGTCGCGGTCGCTGACAATGTCTTCTGGTACACCGTGGCCACAAATCCAACCAGTGTGCAGGAGGCGTGCCAGCTCGGGAGCCGTGGAGTAGTACTTGCAAGGGAGAAAACGCGCGTACTTACTCAATCGGTCCACAACCGTGAGGATGCCGTCGTGCCCGAGCCGGTCGCGAGGAAACGGACCGGTGACGTCCATGGCAATGGAGAGACCGGGTTCCCGTGGGATAGGCATCGCGTGTAACTCGCCGTAGGGATTGCGGTTGCGGGGCTTGCTGCGTCGGCAAACTTCGCAAGAGTCGCAATACCGAGTGACATCGGTAATGAGGTCGGGCCATCGGAATCGCTGTCGAAGCCGTGCAATAGTGCGGTTGACTCCGAAATGGCCGGCGAGTCGTGAATCATGATACTCGCTGAGGAGGCGAGTCCGAAGACGACGGTCGCGTGGGACACATAGTAAGTCCTTGCCTCTCGAGTGGAGGAGCAAGTACCCGTTGGCAATGCGGTAATGGCTGGTCGGCGGGTGATCCGAAGATAGCTGTGCATAGAGCGTGCCGAAGTCCGGATCAGACTGATATGCCCGAATGAAGTGTCGCTGAAGTTCCTCGTCGAATGCGAAGGCATGATGTGTCATAGCGCAAAGATCTGGTCTTCGCGAGAGTGCATCTGCTGCGCGATTTGAGAGCCCGGGTAGATGTTTCGGTGTGAAGTCAAACTGGTCGATGAAGTACATCCATCGTCCGATCGTGCTGCTCACCGTATCCTGCGTCTTGTAGTAGATCAATGGATTGTTGTCCGTAACCCATGTGAACCTACGACGCCCAAGGAGGAAGTGCCGCCATCGCTTGAGAGCCATGACGAAYGCGAGYAGCKCCTTCTTCCTTGCATCATCAAGCRAGTTGATGGGAGGCACTTTGTGGCTGAAATACTCCACAGGGTGCCAGTCGTCGCCGTCGTGCTGTTCCAAGACTGCCCCAATGCCATAGCCGGAAGCGTTTGTAGTCACTCTCGTCGGCAAGGTGGGGTCATAGATGCTGAGGACGGGTGCCATGAGCATGGTCGTCTTAAGTGCTTGGAATGACCGGCGTGCGTTGTCATCGAATACGAATGGCACCTTTGGCGACTGTAACCTCGTCATAGGTGCAGCAATCTTGGAGTATCCGGTGATGAATCGCTGATAGTAGSCCGCCAATCCCATGAATGAACGAACGTCCGTGGTGTTGGTGGGCTCGGGCCATACTCGTAGGGCCTCGATCTTGTCCGCGAGCGGACGGATGCCTTGCGGCGTCACATAATGGCCCAAGTACTCCAGCTCCTGCCGCGCGAATTCACACTTGTCGTGGTTGGCTTTATGCTTGGCCTGTCGTAGCCGCTCCAAAACGGTGCGCAAGTGTTCCACATGCTCCTCCAAACTCCGGCTGTACACCAGGATGTCGTCGAGATAGATAA